AGGTCATAATGAGTTTCTTAGAACTTTTAGGTGTTCAAGAGAGGTGTCCATTCATCCAACTTAGGTTCGGCAATGAAATGGAGATAAGATTTTGATTCCTATAATTTGCTAATTTTGTCCTAAACTATCTAGAAGTCATTTGAGAACTTTTATATAAGTTAAGGAATGACATCAAGCAAGGAGGTTGAAGAGTTTCCTATAGCTGTTAGGCTATGAAAAATGAGAAATTTTTTTACAATTTTTGGCTTTGTATAAAAGGAGGAAAAAATACAACTTAGTGGCTGCAAATTTGGAAAGGTTTCTTTGAACTTTTGGTGTTCAAAGAAGGATGATCATTTGCTTTATTTGAGCTAAGTAGGTGAAGAAGGCTAGGATTTGGTCCTATGTCTAGGAGATTATTTATTGGTTATGTGTTCCAACAAATGAGATGGATGATTTAGAATTTGGTTCTAAGATCTAATAATTCATGTAATGGGACATTTGGAGCCTTGGGGAGGTTCCAAAATGTCACAGATGAGGACAAAAGATATATGAAAGAGAGATCCCTATTTATTTATTTAAGCGTTTTGGACTCATTTAATATGGGATGATCATATTGTAAAACCTAGGAAAGCTTTAGGATTAATTTTGGCATAATCTAAGAGCTTCAAAGGTGTATGGATAATTTACAGCTTAGGAGTTTAAAATGTTAAAGTCAAATATTCATTGCCTTAAAGCTCCAAATTTTGTAAGTGTTTTATCCGAGTTTGATTGGTTCACTGCATTTTGAAACCTTCAACATAACCTTTTGGGTTATGGGGATATGAGAAGTTTCAAAATGATTTAGAATTTTTCTCTATACCAATTAAATTCACCTATGTGCACTTTCTAAAACTCACCAAGGGCTACAAACTTTACTTATGTAGGCTCTAAATGTGAGACATGAAATGAAAGAGAGCTTCCTATTTTGATTTGAATGTTTTGAATTCATTTTTAATAGGAGTAATCACTTGGATGTCTTTAAACAAGCTTTTGAGATCAATTTTGGCATGATCTAACAATCCTAAGAATGTATTGAGTGATTTATCAAATTTGAAAATTCTAGTGATTGTAGAATGAAGGATCACCATAGTATGATTATTACAAATTGTGTAAAATATCAATTTTGCATTTGATTAATCATACTTATTGTAGGTTTTGCAACTTAAGCCTTCGAAGTATACGAGAAACCCAACAATAATTTAATAGTATATTGAAATCAATCAAATATAACTTTGAGCATCCAACAAAGATCTAGAAATATCCACAAGCTCTATTAAATGCAAACTCCTACAGCCTATGTCATTTTTGGCACAACACAAGAATTGGGTAGGAATAGTTGTAATTTGTAATATTTGGAAAACATACAAATTACCATTTGATTTGAAATTGAATAACATCTAACCTATGGTTTGATTATGGGCGATGATGATGCAATCAAAAATTTGGGGAGGGACCCAAATTTTATCGCCAAAGAACAGCTCATAATGAGCTAATTTTTTACTAGACATTAATGTGCTAGAGGAGTCAAAAATCAAATATTAGGATTTGATTTGACCCCCCCTTGCCTACATCAGATGATGGGCTGAATATGATGTACAAACATACATTTGGAAGTTGATGAATACCAATCCAACAAACATACGTGTTGGCATCCTTCTCGGGCTCTCACATGAGAGAAAATGAGTGGAAATCATCGGATTTTCATTGTTTTGCAGAGTGGTCAGTGGATATATTGGGTTTGAGGAAAAATACATGGGATTTCTAGGATCCTAGGGGGCTCGGGAGCGTCAACCACTTTACATGGCTAAAGACCTTGGGGATTTCCTAAGTTCTTGAGATTTTGTCTTACCAGATCAAGTCACGGTGCCGGCCGATATGCTCTTGCCTTGGAAGGCGAGATAGATGAGGGATGGAGGAATGGTTTTGCTATCCAAGCTGTTCTGGATGTCGTCTCAGCTGCCACGAGCTCGCCTGAGTCAATCTTTCGAGCTTGTTAACCTCCAAAATTAGCTAATAAGAGGTAGACAGTAGGAATTGGAGAAAGAAAACAACATGCTTTGATATATGATCAGTCATTATGGAAGTTTTGTATGGTTCCTCACACAGTGCTAGAAGTGTCAAACTAATTGATGAATGTTGGTGGGCTTTGAAACTATATGAAAAATATTTTTATTTTTCCACTAATTTTTCTGGTGCTTGTTTCAAGTCATGGTTTAATACTCTACATTCAGAGTTTGTGGCATATGGCTAGATGTAGCCTTCAGAATTCATTGCAGTTGTTGAGTTCTATTGTTTTTTGTACTGGACTTCTGGCTTTATAGAAAATTTCTCATGCAGTGTAGCAATAATCCTGTCTGATATGTCAGGGAGATCACCTTTGTATAAAAGGTAAACGTGAAAAGCAATGTAGATTGTATACTGAAATCAAACTTTGTTCCTGAAAAAACAATTGAAATTTGATATTTTCTGTTTCAGAGTATTTGTTTTCTTTAGTTCCCCGGCATCTAGAGAATTGATCCATCTCATAAAGAATGATGGAAGTGTATTGCCGCGCATGGGTGCATTGAGTGAGGTCAAAATTTTATGTATATTATAATAAAATTTGGAAGTAGTTTCACGGATTATATTTTGGCATTTTTTAGCTTATTGGAGGTTTTTTATTCATTATTAATTCAATGAACTCTTGCAGATGAACTTGGAATACTTTGCTATTGATAGTCAGGTATTGACATAGTTTATTTATTATTTATTTTTAAAATTTTTTCTTGCTCTTATTCTCTTTTCTGCGGTTATTTTTGCATTTGACATGGGAGTAGTAGGTTTAGATGGATAAATCTCATTACTTTATTATTTAGAATCCCTAATGTAGGGTCTAGTCATCTTGTATCTTGACTATTGTCATGCAGGGCTTCATTACTGACCATGAGAGGGCTTTAGAGGATGTGTTTGGTGATAATGCAGAAATTTTACAGACGCACAATGCTTTTATACATACCATGGCTGCACGTATTGCAACAGTCTTTGCTTCATTGAGGGTACAAAAGTAGCATTACATAGATTTTACATGTTTAAGGAACTTATCATGTTTTTATTATAATGTGAACAATTAAATTGTAGATTGTACGGTGAATTGATAGGATATGCTCCTATGTTCAAATCTTCTAAGTCGAGTCAATATCACTCATGATGACAATGATGATGGTCATGCTGGTGGTGATACTTACTAATTTTCCTCAATAGACTTGTAGATGGTTGGGCTATTTTAATATGTACTAACTCATGTTAAAGAAGTAGTTGCTTTTTTCATCCCAAGATTTGTCCTTTATTTTATGAACTTAAATAGTTTTATATGATTATTCTTAATAGGGGAAATTGTGCTGGTAAAACTTTATTGGTTAACACTACGTACAAGCTTTATATGGTGGAACATGATTGATCAATTTCTGATGTATGGTGCTTCTTTTGGTGAAATTAAGGCTAAATGGTCGTTTTAAGCCATACTGAACATATCTCAATCTGAACTGAGTTTTAGTTGCAGTTTTCATTTTGGTTTTTCAACTTCATATTGTAATCCTAAAATCAGAGTTTGGATCCTCAAAAACTAACAACCCATAAAATCAAGAATACTTCTGAAAACTACAACCAACACACTATTAGTTCTAGAAATCCCTTCACCTACTGCTTTGCACAGTTCCAGCTATCCAACCAATTTAGGAATGTGATTAGTCCATCACCACAATCCCCTACCTTCCTGATTTGAAAAGGAATTAGATCTTGTATTCATTTGTATTAAGTTTCCTCATGTTTTTTCTCTTTCATAAGATTAATTATGCTTGTATTTTTCTCCAAGTTTACTTTCAATTTTGGGCCCACTATTTTGGCCTTTATCTATATAAATTTTGCACCCCATCTACCAAATGAAACATGAGAAAAATGTTGTATTGTACTCCTATGTTTTTCAACATGGTATCAAAACCATTCGATTTCTCTCAGATACCTAATTCTTCATAAATTTCTATTTATCTTAATTACTTATTTTTCCACCTAATTTAAACTATGATGATGATTAAACATGGAATGACCTTAGAAAGAAGCTACTCTTTTCGTGCCATCTCTTGCAAAAAATCAAAATCTTATGGAAACAATGGTATGTAATAAATCTTCTTTAATTCATCAGCTCAAATCAAATCCTTCATCACTTGAAATTGGCATCAATGCAATTTCCCAAAAAGCTATCTTTTTAAACGCCTAAGTGTCCAAAATGAGAATTCATAGTCTTGGATTTTGAACTATGGAATCTCTGATTATATAATGGTAAATGATTTTTTATTTCACACCTTGCTTCAGTGTTAATAAGGAATATACAGTCAAAATATTTGACGGGTCACTATCTCAAATAACAACTAGATACTCAGACACGAGCCCCTCGGACAGATTCCTCCTTTTGCTCCTCAGTCTACGGGGTACTAGCAATAGTTTTTCATTATTGTTCTCCTCCCAAGGGTAGGTTCTTACCCGTTACTCACCCGTCAGTAGCTTCATGGCACTTACTACTCGTTGCCAATTGCTGTGGTTCGCTAACTTGTACTCCATCGACTTGTAGTTCGCCAGGTGCTCCTCTTTCTATTGCAGACTGTCAACTGTTCCTTTCTTTTTTGCCATGCTATCAGCCCTTTCTTGCTGTGGTCGTTAGATGCAATCATAATTTTGAAAAGAGATTTTTTTTAGTCATTCCATATATATTTTTAATTTAATCATGCTAATTTCCTTCCTTTTTTCCATCCTAATAGGATTGATAATACTTGCTTCTATGTCCTTTTTTACTCTCTATTCTAGGCCAACTACTTGGCATTATATCTCCTATAAAACATGTATCCTTATACTTATGAACAACAACAACAACAACATCAAGCCTTTATCCCACTACGTGGGGTCGGCTTCATGAATCCTTTTTCTCCATTGTGTCCTATTAAAAGTCAAATTCTCGTTTAAATCTAATAAAGAAAGGTCATTCCTAATATTTTATAACCAAGTCTTTTTAGGTCTACCCCTACCTTACTTAACATAAGTCAAATCTAATACCTCTACTCTACTAACTGGGTCATCGGAAGGCCGCCTTTTTATGTGACCAAACCATCTAAGGCGACTCTCTCTAATCTTATCTTCTACTGGAGCTACTCCAACCTTTTCACGTATATGCTCATTTCGTATCCTATCTCTAAGGGTAAAGTCACTCATCCACCTGAGCATCCTCATATCTGCCACACTTAACTTAGTATTATGCTTCTCTTTTAATGGCCAACATTCGGCACCATAAAGCATTGCAGGCCTCACTACCATCTTATAGAATTTTCCCTTAAGTTTGAGAGGTACATTTCTATCACATAACATGCCCGATGCATTCCTCCACTTGAACCATCCAACTTGAATTCTACTGATAATATCCCCATCTATTCACAATCACTCTGAACAATAGATCCAAGATATCTAAAACGTGTACTCTTATTAATGACTTGATCGCCCAAAGTCACAATCCCCTCACTAGGTCTATCACTCTGAACAATCCTTATGCTTACGAAATATGAAGAAAATTTAGTATTTTTCTCTTCGTTTTTTGGCATATTAATTAGTTAAATTAGCTTGAAATGCATGATGAATGATTCTTGCCCAAATATTTGGGAGCTGGTACATGGTTACTTTTAGTGATTATTGTTAAGGATTTTTTTGTTTTTTATATATTCAATGGTATAAAACATTTAAATCTTATAACTCTCCTCAGGGATAAATGTTTTATTGGACCAAAAGGCGTAAATAAATATAGAAAGCTAGTTGTTTTTTTAGTTATGAGCTATAGAAAAAGCCTATGCATCCCTATGAATAACTTGGGACATTCTTTCATGAGTTACATTGATATACTTGTGATAGGTAAGCTTTTTTAAATTACTAGAAAATGATAAGAGCACTTTAAAAACAATTGCCAAGAATTGCTAGAGAAAAATAAAAATAGAAAATATTAGATAGAGACAACTTGATATCCTAGAATATGAATCCCTTAGTAACAAGAAGATGACAATGTAAAAAACTCATTATGATTGTCTTACCTTAAGCATGGTGAAAATAGGTGAATGTTGATAGGCTTTTTAATTCCTACCTCTATAATAGGATTTGAAACCTCCTATTCACCAGAGGTCAACATTTTTGGTGCTCGCATCTGAGTCATAAAGTTGTTGAACATCCTGACCATCATTATGCTTACATATTAGAAGAATGTGAGGTCTTTAGTTATAAGTGGAACATAATTAATATTGATGATTGTAGGTGTTGTTGTGACCTCCATAGTAGGGTTATGAAGTACAGGTATAAGGGAGCCCCTAATTCCAAAGAAGAATCTAAAGTTGATTTCAAGTTCTAATTGCAAATCTGATCTTACAACAACGACAACAAGCCTTTGATCGGATGGTGGCAGCTATGACCCAAATGATTAAAAATACTCAGACCCAGGCTGGAGGTAGTGGAAGCACTCCAATGGACAAATACTTGAAGTTATTCCTAGACATGAAGCCTCCATCGTTCTTAGGTGGTGGACCCACAGAGGCGGAAGACTAGTTAATGAGGATAGAGAATATCTTAGAAGGAATGTCATGCCCTCAAGATAGAAGGGTTACCTTAGCTGCCTATGCTTTCAATTGTGATACTTGTAAAAAATACGTTATATCGAAGAGCTTTTAACTAGATGTGGCTAAGGTGTTCAGAGATCAAAAAAGCCGATAAGGTGGTAGCAGAAGTTCACAAAGGATTTTGTGATGCCCATCAATTAGGTCCTAAGATGCCTATTAAAATCAAGAGAATGGATTGTTATCGGCCAACATTGATGAAATATTGTATTGATCATTCTAAGAGGTGACATGAGTGTTAAATCCACGGTGATGTTATACATCAACCACCAAATTGGTTGCACTCTACAGTGGCATTATGACCATTCGAATGCTGGGGTATTGATATAATTGACCCAATCGATCCACCCTCTTCAGCTGGACATCAACTTATATTGACAGCAAATGACAACGAGACTTTATTTAAAGAAGTCACGTATGAACTCGTGATCAACTTTTTGACCCATAATGTTGTTTATAGATTTGGTGTGTCGCACCGCATAATCTCAGACAATGGTACAACATTCAAAAATATCAAAATTTACAAATTCATTGATCGACATAAAATTGATTGGTACTACTCATCCATATATAACGCAAGGGTGAATGGTCTGGCAGAGGTCTTCAACAAAATATTAATAAAATTACTCAAGAAGATCCTTACAAGGAATAAAAGAGAGTGACATACCAAGATGATTAAAGTGTTGTGGGTATACGGTACTATTTACAAGACGCCATGTAAAGCCATTCATTATACATTTGTGTTCAGGGTTGAAGCAGTGTTGCCACTGGAGATCGAATTAACAACACTTTAGGTAGTCATCCATCATGATCTCACTAAGGAGCAAACTGCTCGCCTGAGATTGGAGGAGCTCGACGCGCTAGATGAAATCAGACTGCAAGCGCAGCAGAATTTAGAGATTTATCAAGCAAGGATGGAAAGCTCATTTGATCGGATGATGTGCCACCGAGAATTTCAAGATGGTGAATTGATCCTGGTGCTAAGAAGACCAATTATTCCACACCGAAGAATAGGTGGTAAAATCAAACTTAATTGGGAAGGTCTTTTTATCATCGAGGTGACCAGGGAGGAGCTTACCAACCTGTCGATATGAACGTTCAGAGACTTATGCCACCAATTAACGGTCAATACTTAAAGAAGTATCATGCATAAAATTGTCCGAGAAAAATTTGTACTCAAATGTGCTATGCAATAATTAAATTACTATATACATGTTTATCAACCTATATACTTTATATTATTGTAATTATTTTGTAGTACAAAAAAGCATTTCAGGCATTTCATGAAAATCACCTTGCAAGGAGTATTTTTTTAGTTTTATAATTAAAACTTGTTTAAATTCTCCTACAAAATAAGGGAC